ACACACACACAGACACACACACACCTGAGCAACATGGATCATCAGAGTGGTGGTGATAGTGGAGGGTGAGGCGTATACATACAGTCGGACAGGCTCGGTGTGGAGGCCGTCAGCTGATCCGCAGCACCTGACGCCGCTGACGGGTTCAGAACGTTTTCTTTGCTCTTCAGGTAGAAATCGACCGTGTCCAGCTGACGGTTCTTCAGTCCGGCCTGCAGCGAAACATAACTTTAAAATACAGCAGCCGACAGTAAACATCTGCAGGCGGTGCCCGTGAGGATGGGCGCTACCTCCTACCTGCAGGGCGTGGATGGGGATGGAGCAGCGCCCCCAGCTGTTCAGGTGACACACTGCATCCACTGTGGCTGCACTGCCGAACAGCATCAACCTGCTGAGCAAGTCCTGCTGGGAAACGGAGAACAAGACCTGGAAGACGCCGGCCTCTGGAGACGAAAGAGTAAGATGTTGGAAGTGAAGGTGTAATGATTAGGTTGTCCTCTTTGTCGGTGTGTTGTTCTTCTTGTCTAAACATTTTGTTTTATATGGTTGTTATTCACACAAGGTCGCTCAGGGAGACACAAACGTTAGATCCGTCACCGTCTCTACTGCAAAGCTCCATTAATTCAGATTCCTGCCTCGACTGTGATTTACTGCCTGTTCACGACTCCGAGTCCGACTTACTCTTCAGCAGTAGTCTGTGCTGTCTCTCTCCACAGCGCAGAAGTGGAGCCGCCTCGTCCTCCTCCTGGTGGTAGCCCACACTCCCGGAGTCGAAATCCCACGAGGCTACTGTGGTCAGCCTGTTGCCGGGGGAGACGAAGGTCAGCAAGGCAGAGAACTCGGAGACAGCGAGCAGACACGGAGCAGATGAGTCAGGGACAGCAAAGTCGATGGTTGCACCGCCGCTAGGGACTCTACTGTGGGCCGAGGAAGGAGCCTGGTGGGACTCCAGGTGGGGGAGGGAGGAGGACCAGGACATCCCGGCGGGCTGGGAGGAGGAGGAGGAAGAGGAGGAGGAGGGGGGAGGCGGAGCCTGCTGAGCTCTGCTGTACATGGAGGCCAGATGAGCTTCCCAGGAACTAGAGGTGAAGTCAGACAAATGAACGTTAGAGAGAAAAGTGAAGAATCATTTCAATCTTTTATTCCCAGAAAAAAAAATGTTTTGTCTCATATCTGGAAAAATGTTCATCTAATCATCTTCACACAAAATTGGTGCAACACGGATACGTTCAATATTAAGAAACTTTTAATCAAGAGGCAATCAGCGCCGTGTAGTAACTGTGGGCGGGGCAACCTATTGCTATGCCATCGCCACTGAGAGCTGAGAAAACATTTAGTTCATAATCTATAAATATAAAGTCAGTGTGATGACTCAGCAGTTTACCGGTCAGTGCTGAAGGTCGATCCGAGGGCGGCGAGGCTGCAGCTCGACAGACTGTCCTGGTCTCTCAGAGGCCTGAGGTCGGGTGGAGCAGGTGGGACGGCACAGATCAGGTGGTCTGGATACATCCTGGAGGACAGAGACATGAAGTTCTGTTGTTTACTCTGCCTCAGATCAGTCGATGCTCTTACTCACTCCATTTAAAGCAACACTAGGCCCTTTATACATATGTGTATATATATACACACACACACACACTTACCCTTTTTGGAATCTACTGACCTCACCTGTGTTTTATCTTCTATCATCTCTTATCTTTCTATAAAATTGAATATTTTCAGCTTTTATAAATTCGGACTTAAAAAAACCTGTTGACAGTTAATCAACTGCTCAAAATGAGGTTGGTTTCTTTCTGCTGCTGCACCTGAAGTAGTGGTCGAGGTCAACGCCAACAGCAGCGCGGGATTGAGTGACGGCGACGGCTGTGCTGAGGTCGGCCGACACCTGGAGGAGGCTGAAGGAGGAGGAGGAGGAGAAGGTTGGAGCAGAGGAGACAACATCGTCCTCCTCCAGGTCGGAGCTCAGGTAGAGAGGGATATCAACGCTGGCCAGCAGATCGCCGGCAGAGATACTGAACACAGCTGGAGGACGGTTAAAGAAAAGACTGCAGGGGATTCAGAACAGGGATAAAGACTGAACAAGCTTGTTAGAAGTAGTTTGGTCCAATCACAGACGTGTTTTCTGGATGGAACTGCAGATCTGGGGTCTGAGGATACAGATGACTCCAGTGGAGCTGAGGGTGAACAGCGTGTCTCTGCAGACACAGTGATTGACAGCTTCGTGTCTGACGCCATCAGTCGGCTGGATGCTGCAGCAGGTTAATATCTGTGGCTCCGCCTCCATCTGCTGCCACTGCAGCTGCAGCAGCCAATCATCATTCAGCAGCACGCAGCAGCGGCCGGCGGCGAACGACAACAGACGCAGCGACTGTAGCTTCAACACACCTGAAAACAAAGTTTTACTCAGTAATATTTACACATTAATATTAATGTGTTGGTCGTTCCTGATGATGAAGGCGCGACTCACTGGGGTCCTGCCGCCGCACAGTCTGCAGCAGGAAGTCTGCAGAACATTCAGAGACGCAGAGCAGAGAGACGGCGGCTGATCGTTCAGCCTCCACCTCCAGCAGCTTCAGGTCACACTGAGATCCAACAGCCAGAAGTCTGCTGACGCCCCGACTGTGGACGCTCTGCTCCTCCCAGGAAAAACTGCGGACAAAGAAATAGATGATTCTGTGCTGGACTGAAGCAGATGATCTCAGTCCATATTTTATTATTTTATGAGACAAGAGAAAAGTGGAAACTTGTGAAACCATCATATGACTAGTTTAACTCTTTCTATAGAGCAGAATGTAGAATTAATTACCAACAAACTATAAAACGACAACATCCATATATAATAATACTGTCTTTAAAAGTTATTAGCTTCAGAATTCACTTTCTGTTCGCTTCTCTTACAAATGCTTTGATTTATTATCACAACTACACTTTAACACAAGTACAGATGAAGTAAAGTTAAAGTCAGAAGAAGTGACATCACAAACACAGTGTGGACTTGAAGCTGGTTCAACAGGAAACTGGATCCATTAGTAAAACATTATCGAACACGAAGTATTCTGTTATCATATAGTATTTTAAACCTCTCCCTCACACACTCTCTTCTCTCGGTCTGCGTGTACTTGTACTGCGTTTACTCTGACGTCACATCAGGTAACTCAGGTGACACGGTACTGAAGTGAACCGGGGACTCACTCGGAGTAGGATCCGTCCACAGCCGCCGGAGGAGCGTCTCTGTCCCCCGGGTCCCACAGCAGCAGCCGGCCCGGGGCCCCCGGCAGCAGACAGCCGAGCAGGGAGCCTCCAGGAGCCAGCTGCGCTCTGCGGATGTCCGCCACCTCCTCGCGGGTCTCGGGGATCACTGCCACCGCGATGGGGCTCCTCATCTCCGGCCGCGGAGCCTCCAGCATCTTCCTGCTGTCCGCGAGACCGTGGTCACATGTCAGCTGTCACATGACCCGCCGCTCCGCGTCAGCTGATACACTCCGACCAATAGGAGCACGGCAGCTAGAATCAGTGTTTGTTGAGTAACTTCTCTTAAAGAACTTTGTTCACTGTTTGTTGAGTCTCTTTATTCTTCGTGTTTAAAATAATAAATCTTCACGAGAACGATCCAGACTGCAGCTTCAATCATGGAGGCTCCTGCGTCACAGACCACCTGACCCGGAAGTTTACAACAGAACAGGAAGGTGAGCTGAAGCTCCGCCTCTTGTCTGTTTCCGGTCGCTGTTCCGTCAACATGGCGCCGATTAACCGACCGAAGCTCGAGTCTGTGTGACGGTACCGACCAACACGAGTCTGTGTGACGGTACCGACCAACACGAGTCCACCGGAAACTGGAGCTGGAGAGAGAACATGGAGGAGAAAGCGTTAGAGGTTTATGGTGAGTGTGTAGTACTGTCAGTACTGTTAGAGTACTGTTAGTACTGATAGAGTACTGTATAACTGTTAATACTGTCAGAGTACTGTTAGTACTGATAGAGTACTGTATAACTGTTAATACTGT